TGGGAAGTGACAGCAAAGAATGTGTCGACAGAGACAAAGAACACTCTGCAGAACTGTCCTGTGCCAGGAGACAACAAGCTAGTACAGGGACAAGTGTAGTGGCGGAGCAGGTCAACTCGAGGTGTCCTGTGGCAACGTCTCGAACGTTCGTGTCCACAGATGACTTGCTGGACTGCTTGGTGAATCCTCAAGTAACCAGGATGGTGGCCCAGCTTTTGATACAAGGAAAAAGTTTGTGATTCTAATAGATTGCTTTTAATAAAATTTTTTAAAATTATTTTTGCAGGGTTTATCTGTGTAGCTTTGGAAGCTGTCCTCAAATTCACAGAGATCCGCCTGCCTCTGCCTCCCAAGTGCTGGGATTAAAGGCGTGTGCCACCACCACCTGGCTATTTGTTTGCTTTTTATGTAGCATTTTTTACTTACTCTTTGAGGCTATCATATGTATATACAGTATATTTTGACCAAATTCATGCCCCATTGCTTACCTCCAGATTCTCTCAAGTCCCCTTCCTCCCCCTCCAAACTTTATTTTCTTTTCTTGTTTTTCAGCCCTTTCAGTTCAGTTACTGCCACCCATATATGTATATGGGGTAGGGCCATCCACTGGGCCTTGGCTATCCTTCCAGGAGCTATACACCTAAAGCAAACTGACTTTCCTTCCCGAAGAAGCCATCAACTGTCAATAACTCCTTGGCTAGGGGCTTATGTGCCCATGGAGAGTCGGCACAGGCTGTTCTTCCAGAGACACCCTCACACAGACATGCATGCGCACAAAACAACTATGCACGTGAAATAAATCTAAAAAATGTTAGTGACCGGCTTGTCCTAGTACAGGCGGCCACACCACATCTGCCCAGTCCTTAGGTGCAACAGTTCTGTCCTGTCCAGTCCAAAAGACATTGCCTCATTCCTCCCTGACCCCTGGCTTAGTAAATTTTCCTCCCTGTTTCTTTCCCTTTGGGAGTGAGGGGGTGGTTTTGAGTCAGGGTTCTACTTTAGCTCTAGCTCTACTCTATGTCGGTCAGGCTGGCCTGGAACTCACAGAGATCCCCCTACCTTGGCTTCTTCCTCATTTCTCCAGGCTTTGTGTTAACACCATTCACTGCACAAAGAAGCCTCTCTGATGAGGACTCAGGGTTGGTACAGATACTACTTGGGAGGCAATGTAATAGTCTGTCAGTGTAACAAAACAATAGTTTCACCTCCAGGGCCTCTGAGCTCTGAGTTCCCCAGTCACACTTCCTGGCCAAGTTGAGAGTTTGTTTTTCAGAGTTTTGCTATATACCTCAGGCTGGCCTTGAATTCAACATCCTCTGACCCTGCCCCGCCCCCAAGTGCTAACAAGATTGGTTCTAAACAGTATGATTTTAAAATGAAAGATGGACAGCAGTCGGTGAGGTTGCGCGTGTTTGGAAATGGGCTGTGGTCACTTTTTTCCAGCATGTTGCTCTGTAGCTCACATTTGCAGGCCTCCTCAGTCCCTTGGCTTTTCCTCCTCCATGTGGTCTTGTCAGCCTCTTAAATGTGAGCTCCACCTGTTTCCAGCAGGAATCAGTTCCTTCTTCAGCTCCAATCAGCAGTGATCAGTCTGCTGCTTGTTCGTGTCATTTTATTGTTTATTTTGGGTTTGTTTGTTTGAAACAGGCTCGCTATGTAAGCCTCAAACTCAAAGAGGTCCACCTGCCTCTGCCTCCTGAGTGCCTGGATTAAAGGCATGTGCCATGATGCTGGCTTATTCTTATAAATTTTTATTGAACCTCCCCCAAGCCGTTTGTTTCCCATTGTCTGTGGCAGCCTTAAGATTGCCATGGCAGAGTAGGTGTGCACGGTGTGTGGCGTAGGAAGCAAGGACAGTGCACGGCACTGAGGCACCCGCAGAGGCCTCGAGCAGGGCCTCACTGCTCCGCTCTCCAGTCTCAGCACTGCTTGTCCAGCCAGCACTGTAACAAGTTATCCCTAAGAGTGGGTTGGTCCCCGGCCTGCACAACTGCCCTACACTGGCTATGTATATTTGCCTGATTATTGTTTATCTTGCCAAATCAGCATGTTGCTGTAAGCTTTGGAGGCCCTGAGGCTTCTTTTAACAGGTCAAGTTTATTGGACCAGCCAGCAGGCTTTACACAGAGTTATCCAAAGACTAAAGTTGCCCCAAATGTTACAGGGTTTATATATATTTGGCTTTTTTGTCTCCTGTATATTGCTACATACATTCTGATGGGATGTTTTAACTACTAGACAGTTAAGGCTAGAATGAGAAGGGAGGTAGAAAGGAGTACTGACCAGCCTGCCCATGCACACATGTGGGCATTGACCAGCCTGCATGGCTCTTGTTGGTCTTTTCTCTTAGCCCTCGGAGGTCCCCTCTAACCCCAGCACAACGTAACTCCACGAGGGTAAGGAGTTTTAGCGGTTACGGCTTCACTCACGGAACTTGGGCCAGTGCTGAGAACAGGAGGAACACAGAAGTTACCTCTGACTAGGCAGGCAAGAGAGAGCAGTGTAAGCAATGTTCCACTAGTAGCACTAGCATAGAGCATACCGTGGTCAGTGCTCAGTTTTCAGATCTTAGATTTATCTCCACGGAAACATGTTGGGGTCTCTGGGGACCCCTGGGTCGAGAGGGTAGAGTGCACTGTTCACCCATCCCTTAGCCTCCCTGAAACCCGGAGACAATCAGACGCAACAGGGAGTCACGTCAAGCAGGATCTCATTTATTGTTTAACAGTAAAGCCCTCTTTTTAAAGTGAAAAACTGCAGGGCAGGAAAAGCATCACCCAGTAATTTTAAAGGAATTCCTATTATGTATCTAGTGTCCTGTCTCCTCTTGGGCACAGTCTGCTAGTGTGATGACCTCATCTGTGTGAGTCTGGGCAGCCAGTTGTTTTTCTTAGCAAACACTTGAAGCCTTGCCTCCTTAGCTTCCTCCCAGTGCCATCTTGTAAGGACACTGGTCCTCAGCTTGGGCCACTCCCGCTTCTGGCGGGACATGATCTGTGCTTCTCCACAGAAACATCTCTTTTTCTTCAGGTGTTTTTGGTTTGTTCTGCATGACTCAGCTGTGAATCATAGAAGCAAGCTGAAGGGCTCAGATCTGTATGGAATAGGGTAGAAAAGAAGAGATAATTCGAGAATCACCCCTGTTATGATAATGCACATGGGGGACCTTGGCAAGGGTGAGCAAGGCAGGGAACAAACATGCCAGACAGACAGAGCTTAGTGAGAAGTTTTATTAAAAAGGGAAAGGGCCGGGGAGAAAAGAGGTAAAGAGACAGAGGACAGAAGAGAAGAGGGAGACAGGAAAAGACCTGTCTGCCCCACGGGAACAGCAGGAAAGAGAGGACTGATGTGGGTGGGATCTTTCTTTTAAAGGGTCCTTTGCACCTGTGTGCAAATTACTTAACCATGGAACCCTGGGCTGACCAGGGTACTGCCTGAGTGCATTCTGCCAGGTGACGGGCAGGCCAGCATAATGCCTGAATCCTTACAACTCCAGCATTCAGTATCCTGTAAGGCAGGTCTAGAGAGGGCTGGGTTACAGCTTTCTCCTGATTTTAAAGGAAACAAAAACATTTTAGTTTCAAGAATGGGCATTATTTGATGAAACTTCTCAGGAAAATGTTGTTTCTTGGTAAGTTTCTCACGAGGCATTTTAGGTTCTCTGAAGGCATGGGACTGACAGAATGGACCCAGTGTAGGCTGGGCTGGGCTGGGCTGGGCTGAGCAAAGCTTGCAGGCTCTTCTGCAGGGAAGTCTTTAATTCTATGAGAAGGAATCGTGTTACTACAAAGACCTGGGAAGAGTTCAGACATCAGTAAATGCAGGTGATGGGAGGGGATTCCCTGATTACAAAGAGGTGTCAGAAGGTGAGCTCAGTGAAAGCTAGCATGACCATCCTGCCTCTCGAAGACCACACCTGACAGAGTAACACCAACTGGCCAGAAGTACTTGGGCTCCTCAGAGGCCAGCAGAGCTCACACATTCCTGTAGTGTCCTGTTCTATGGTGTATATGAGTCAGCAGGGCTAACACCCAACTGGTTTTCAGTAGGTATGGTGGCCAAGGCTCACTTTGCTTTCAAGGCTCCGTGAAGATATTTTAGGTTTTTTTGTTTGTTTGTTTGTTTGGTTTGGGTTTTTTGGACTTTGTTTTGTTTTGTAGGTTTGTAGACCTCAAACTCACAGAGATCCACCTGCCTCTGCCTCCTGAGTGCTGGGGTTAAAGGCATGCACCACCAATGCCCCGCCCTGAGGTTAGGTTTTAATTTTTTTTTTTTTTTTTTGGTTTTTCAAGACAGGGTTTCTCTGTGGCTTTGGAGGCTGTCCTGGAACTCGCTTTGTAGACCAGGCTGGCCTCGAACTCACAGAGATCCGCCTGCCTCTGCCTCCCAAGTGCTGGGACTAAAGGCGTGCACCACCAACGCCCGGCTTGGGTTTTAATTCTTTTTATGCACCAAGGGACTACAAAGGCAAAAGTACCAAAGTGTTGGTGTAGCCCTGGGTGTCAGGTCTGTTGGACTCTTCCAGGTGCCCACTGAAAGCAGAATCTGGGTTGCACAAAGTGACACCACAACTTGAGCTTTCAGCACATCCCTCAGGTGACAAGGCACATACAACTGTGTGACCCTACAGTGAGCGATCAAGACCTGACTTGGGCCCCAGGAAGCCTGCTCATTGGATACAGGCTTTCTAAACCTTAAAGTGCATTGTGCCCTTCCAGTAATTTCCACCTGAACCTTAAGGATCACTCAGTGCTGTCCTGTTCAGTTGTGGCTTTTTTTTTTTTTTATCAGAAGTGACCACTATATGTCATTGAACTACACCCCACCCCCATACACACCCACTCCATGTTTGCCCTTTAGGAGAAAAATGATTCTACTGAGAGACATTTTTCAAGCCTGAAGGCAACTGTAACATTTGCTGTTTGGGTCCTTATTCTTCTTTGTAACAAATGTTATTGAGCCTTGCCCTGAGTTGACCAAACCCTGTAGAACAAAGCAAATGCACACAGGCCTCTCACTTTTATTGCATTTCCTTAGACTGTTGTCAGTACTGAGTCCAGAAGCCAGTGCAGGGGAAGCCAGTCCCTCCTAAGCCAGTCTGTGCCAGTCCGTTTAGAAACAGCAGCATAGGTTCCAAGGCCTCTGTGTCGTTGGGACAGCAGTGGTGACCCCTGCTCTACTTGAAGCTCATTGTGATCCCCATGGTGGGAACCAGCGACTTAACCCTCCCAACACCCAGGAGTGTACCACCTGAGGATGTCACACAGCACTAGCTCCTTGGCCTATAGAACTCCTAATAAGGAGTAGAGTAGACACAAAATCCAGAAAGAAAAAAGCTGGGGAAATCTGGAGCCGCCTCACAGATCACCTGAGATACTAGCCACTGAGTGATGATAGACATTGTGTGACAGACACTATGTGATGGTCACTTCGTGAAGGCCACTGTGTAATGACCACTATGTGAAGAACACTGAGTAATGGCCACCCACTGATAGTCACTGTGTGAAGTCACTGAATGATGGCTGAAACAGCACTCGCTCATCTCAGGGCCAGGTTCTATGGTGGGAATAGCGAAAGACTCCACACCAACACCAAGACTCAGCTGGCTCTGAGAGTCCCTGCCTCCATGACCTCAGACAAGGGCGTTTCTTGTACTCTAAACATGTTCCCTTAGCCTTGAAATACAGAAAAAATTTCCCATAGCACTATTAATGGGAAGAAAATCATGTATGTGAGCTCATCTCTCACTCTGCCAGGCAAGGTCTAGGCACTCAACAAATGGCATTGAGGCTGCAATTTACAGGAGAAAAGTAAAAGAACTTAAGCCAGGTCTGGTAGCACAGGCCTCTGACGAGTGACAAGCAGGAAGAGAGTGATTCAAGGCCTGCCAAGGCTAAGGAGGGCTATCAGAGCCAGCCTGGGCAACTAAACCACAGCCTGCCTCCAAATAGAAAGTAAAGAGGGCTGGGATGTGTAGCTGTTTTAGAGTGCTCACTTGGCAAGCATGAGGCCCTGAGTTCAGCCCGCAGTACCACAAGGAAGAATTACCACCCAGTAGACACTGAGTTACTAAGTTAGCAATCTGACTAGTTAGTTGGCTTACACATAAAGCTTTGAAATAATCACAAACTGGCCTGCTATGGAAAACACACTAGCAGATATCTTAGAGTTCACCCATTTTCACATGGTGAAGGGTTTCCCCTGGAGATGTAACAGACGTCACACCATTGACTTCGCTAGGTAGCCGGAACATTGGGTTAACATTAGAAAGGGCCTCTGGCAATTGGGGCCAGGGATTCTGAGCTGTACCCCTCCTTGAGGCTCAGTTTACAGAGACCATGAGCCACATCCCAGCACCCAGTTTGTACATAGCCCTGGCTGGAGCTGTCCAAGCCACGTGGCACAGGGCTGTTGGTGAAGAAAGAGGCTCTCTGCTGTGGAATCTGTTCAGTTGGCAGTTAGCAGCCTTACTGGTCAGTGACACTGTGCGTCCCGACGGCACCATTGCACTCTGACATGATTCCACTGGTGGCAGCTGGGCTTGTGTGACTTCCTGAAAGTCCGTGAGGGTGCTACTGTCACATTTGGGATAACATGGCTACAGCTGTTATCAGACTGAAATTCTCAGGTTGACTGGCTCTCTAGTAGATTCATTTCCACCATGGAGGAGCAGCTGAGGAAACATGTCCATGGCATGTCCATGAAAGACCTTGTTGGGCTCTTACAGAAAGCTTAAGGAGGAAAACAGCTAAAATTTGTCTTACAGCAGAGACATGAATTTGAATTTCTCTTGGAAGGTGCCCTGAAGTATCACCGCCTAAACGTGATAAGATACTCTGGATATGCTTGATTGTCATAAAACACTACAAATATACTTGGATTTTGATCATTATCTACAACAGTGTCATACAAGTCAGTAGGATTATAAGGGTCCCTTGAAGGAGGCACAATCAGTGACGAGTTTCCATTTGTGTAGTTCCCAGTGAGAACCCGCACATAATACATATGCTTTTTCCCATTGGCATCTGGTTTGGAGTATACGTCATTGGCAGAATAGGAAGCATTGACAGCAAAATAGGTTCCCTTCCCATAGCACACAGCTGCAAAGACAAAGACATTTTAAAGTAATTCAGTATAGCATATAAATCAACAGGTTAGCCCAATATGTCAGCTAATATAAAAGGGATGCTCAGCATGAATATTTTGTGTGAATTCTTTATCATCATCATCATCATCAATTTCAACCCTTGGGCTGAAACTGAAACATATTACTGTTTACTGTTAAAAACTGGCTCCAGTCTGGCCACCACGATGTGAGGAACACTGTGCACAGATCCCAGGGTGGGCTCTACCAGCCAGCACCCCATTTGGGGCAATTGATTGCATGCTTCCTTACCGTTCTTCCCAGCGTAGCTGCGGTTAAACCCGTTGCTGTTGAGGTGTAGGATAGAGCTAGCCTCCGTCCCGTGGAAGAGCTGGCTCTCATTTCTTTCATGGCCATTCTTTTCATCCATAATTTTTTTGTTTGCCTGGTACTTCCTCCAGAGAGATGGATTCTGGATCCTTTCGATCTATAAATTAATAAAGTATTCTGGAGATGCCAAGATCACGTGCCAGGTGATAGCAAATTACCAGCTTTGTCATTCATTAGTAAAAATTCAGTGCCAAGTGACAGTGTCCTATGTTCAGAAATGTTTTTATCATTGGTAAGACAGCTCAGGAAGTATATGGTGACCTGAGTTTGACACCTGAATTTGGAAAAATAACACTGACCACACAAAGTTACACTCTGACTTCTATAGATGTGAGAACCCCACTTCTCTCTATCTCTCACCCCCCCACACACACATATACAGACAATGCTCTCTAACTGGCCTGGAGCTCACAGAGTTAGGCAAACTGGCTGGCCAGTGAGCCCCAGGGATCACTTGTGTCTGCTTAGGCAGCTCTGTGGTTACCAGGGTGCAGCACCATATCTGGACTTTATGTGGAGTCTCGGGAATTTTACCAATTGAGTTATGCATTATTTTCCCTCTAATCTGGGTGCTAATCCCTGCACTTGGGGGATTGAAGCATTAAGATCATAACTTGAGGCCAACCTGAACTACATTCTGAATTCTAGGCCAGCCTGAACTGCATAAGACCCTGTCTCAAGCTGGGTGGTGGTGGCATACGCCTTTAATCCCAGCACTCAGGAGGCAGAGTCATGTGGATCTCTGTGAATTGGAGGCCAGTCTGGTCTACAGAGCGAGTGTCAGGATAGCCAGGGCTACACAGAGAAACCCTGTCTTGAAAAACTAAAAAAACAGAACAAACAAATAAATAAAATGAAAACATAGCCACTGAGCTCACAGAACAGCATAATTTCAGAGTGCCGGTGCTGCATTTTTAGACTATGGTAAACTCCCTGATATGAGTCTGGAAACCAAACTTGCAACTTGGGTCCTCTGAGAGAGCAGCAGAAAATCTTGACCCCCTAAATCACCTCATATATGAATGGGTTTATTCAGGATTGTGATATTCCTTATTTCCATCATTAGGAAACTCATCAGCAAATGACTTACCTTCTCTATGGTAAAGTTTGTGCAGGTCTGGTTGAACTTGCTTGCCACCATGTTGTATTCAGGATCACTGGGTTGCAGACTGACCACAAGCAATTTCTTCTGCTTCATGTCACTCCAATTTGCAGGGATTTCAGCTGCAAAATAGACAATTTGAGAATTCATGTGTCCATTTCCCATATGCTTTGGCAAAACCTGCCTCCCTCTTGTGTTATAGTCTCATAATTCTATGTGTGCAAGAAATTCCTTGTCTTTCTAAAAGGATGTTGTTAAAAGTGTAGACCGTGGACAACTGGGATCAGGATGAGCTTGGAAGAATGTTCAAATGAGGGGGGGACTTAAGGCAAGGGCAGTGATAGATCTCTAGCCTGACTGCTACCTCTTCCTTTTATATCTCTTAAATCCTAAAGTTCTGTGTTCCCAGTGCTGAGATCACCTTTGTGTGAGCCATTCCTCTTTAGGACCAGATCAGTTTCATGTAATTCGGTGTGACCTTGATCTAACAAAGCTCCATCTGCTTGTCTCTTGAGTCCTGGGATTAAAGGTGTATATCACCATTGCCTAGCTCTATGGCTTGTGACTACCTTTGCTTTCTGTACCTCCAGGCAAGCTTTAATCAACAATATATCACCACATTCTCTACTTTGATGTGAATTAACAAATTAATTACCTAACTTGTTTTGAACAATCTGTCATTTTGTGTATGTGTGGGTTTGTACCAGAACACCACACTATGACTGGGGAGTAGTCTACATGTATTTTCTCATTTTCTTCACAGCATCCGTAAGAGGTAGGGTTTGTCTGTAACAGGCTGCAGAATACCACGTGTGATATGTCATTCCTCCAGGGTTGGGTTATGTGGTTTGATGGCAGGAATAACTGCCCACACAAGACAGACATTTCCTTCCTGAGGATCAGATCCATCAGGGAACCTGTAGGCTGCTTCCTGACCTGGTACCAAGGAAGCTATTTTTCTTCTACCTCTACCTGAGGTAACATGACTGCCTCAGGATCTAGAAGAACTGGATCCAGGAAGCTTATAAACTGCAGGGATGGAAAATCAGAATTAACTGTTGTTACAGTTAAATGGCTGTTCTTGGGCTGTTGGGTTCATCCATGCTGTGTTTTCCTGATCACAGTATATGCTTTGAAAACTCAGGGACTGAGATCTTGAAATTATTCTACTAGGGTTATTTGAATTTTATCTACATTACATTTTAATGTACCAGAGCATGGGTGGCTCATGCCTTTAATCCCAGCATTTAGGAGGCAGAAGAAGGCAAGTCTATGAATTTGAGGCCAGCCTGGTCTATAAAGAGTTCGAGGCCACTCATGTCTACATAGTGAAACACTGTCTCAAAAAACAAAAACTGCTGTGTTTCTAAAATTGTGTTAAACTCAGAGTTGGAGCAATGGCTGACGCCCATGAGCATGTAACTTACCTTCAGTTTTTAAGATGCGCTGAACAGTGAGACTCTGTCCTTGAGGGCCTGTAGCCGTGTTTGTGCTCAGGTTCACTGTGAACTTCTGATTATTAACTCTGACAACAGTGCTCTTGTGCTTTGCCTTCCGTGCGTCCTCCAACTGCATGTTAGCTATCTTGTCAAAACGGTAGGTGACGTTGTTGTCAACGTATTGCCATTCCACAAATGTGAGGACATAGTCTGCATGGCTCTCCTTTTCTTTAGTCAATCGAATGCTCTTGATCAGGTCTTCAATCTCATCTCTAGCTCGTACCACATCTCTGCTAATTCCTTCAACTTTAAGCAAAGGTGCCTTCTGGTCCAAGTCTATGGTGATATTCAGTCCCTCCTGTAGCTCACTCAGTTTCTTGTACTCGCTCTCATCAAAGTCCCGGATACATTCATCACGACTGGTATAGGATAACTGCTCATCAGTGATCAGATTCTGTATCCAGGAGATCGTGCGTTCCACGCTATCTGCATCTGCACCACATACCTGGAAAGCTGTCTGCTCTATTTTCTTCTCCAAAAACAGGGTGTTCTGTTTGGGGGGAGCATGCTTTGTAAAGCCAAGAAAGGCTAAAGAGAAAATGAAAATTAATTTTTCTTTTATTCCCTTCAGCATCAAGGTCACAAATATGTATTTCATAAAAGCAAACAACTCACAGGCGATCTTAGACAGCATAGACGGCTGGGGAGGAGGTGGGGAGCCTTCTCTGTCTTTCATGTTGTCATAAAAAATTTTCAGAATATGGGGCTGGAAGATGACAACTTTCACTTTCCTCACAGAATGCAGTGATTTTTTCTGGATAAATTCTTCAATGGCATCCATTATGGCCTTAGCAACTGCATCTGGGTCCTGTTGAGCACTTCCTTTAAAAACACACACACAAAAAGACAAGGTTAAGGTCCACCTGCACAAGACCTCAACATAAACAAGGAAGTCCAGTTGTCACAGGAAAAAACATCTGCTCCCACTTTGATCACTGTAAACTTTTCTAACATCACATCAGCAAATAGTGTTGACATCCTAGACACAGTGGGAATTTCTGTTTCATGCTGTCCATAGGTCAACACCCCAGGTAAAGACCCTGAAACCCATTTTAATTTGTGACATTCACATCTGTCCTTTTCAGCTGACCATGGCTCCCAGTGTCACTCCCCTCCCATTACAGATTCCACGTGACTCACTCCTCCTTAATTTACTAGTGTCCTCAAAATATCATAAAAGGCTGTGTGTGTGTGTGTGTGTGTGTGTGTGTGTACACTAATACATCTTAAAACAGCATGGCCCTTACAGAGACAATCCTAGTCTCTGATAGATTTTATGCATGGGTTATGATCCTCCCAGCTACTCTCTGGGGAACTGATTTAAACTAAGATATCCCAAACTGTGAGCTACTTGTTATTGTCTATTCTAGGTTCATTAGTTACCCAGAGCTTCCAGGATGTCTTTTTTCCCATACTCTGTATGATTTTAGCTGCCCAGCGCATTCAAAGCAGCCACCGAATAGATCCACTCCTGTCTTCAGCATGTTTCAGATCTTGTATCTCAAGCCCTGGAACCCACTGACTAGGTAAGACTGACTAGGTAAGACCTTTCTAATCATGGGTGTGGCCCAAAGTGAGTGGAAGCTGGCAAAGTCACATGACAGGCAATGTAAGTCTCCTGGGCAAGCTGACTTAATAGACTGAGAGCCCATTTGGATTATACCTGTTAATGGTGCCCACCACTGTGGCAGAAAATTACAGTAAATGCCCTTGACTAAACTCGTAGTCAATTGTGGGGACACAGGTCATTCCTCCTGCCTCTGTCCTTCCAGTAATTGGGACCACAGGTGCTCATTTTCCTCCTTCTACTTAAGTATCCCAGGCTTTACTCGGTCCCGACTGTATTGGGGTGCCTTGGAGTGAGGAAAATGTCTACTCCTGGGTGAGGTGTTACTGTCATCATGCAAACCCTGTGAGGAGCAAATCCATGGGGAAGTCCACACTTGGGATTGAGCCGTGACAGCCTGTGGGTACAAACCTGTGCCAATGGCTGGTAGGCAAATGGACTCGTAGTTCCGCTGTTCACTTTCTTCCAACACACAGGAAACTGATCTCTTGACATCATTCCCACCAACAACATGAATAATACTCTTGCATTTCAGTAATCCACCTTCAGTAACTATGTACTCCTTGTTCTGTTGAGCTGTGAAACATAAACAGACTCAATCAGATGATGAACCTACTCTTGGAGAAAGCAAGATGTCTGATTTGATGAGGAAATATTTTATGAACTAAAAGCTCTTGAAATACTATGATTAGTGAAATTTTGTGGCTTAATTTCTCTTAATTGTAACATAACATTCCACTTTTAACATTCTTTCACATAGAGTTCTTTCATAAAAATATGATCTTAAGATTGATACATGGATCTCAAAACAAATATTAGTACATAATTTTCCCAGCCCAAAGACCTTTCTCAGCCTCCCATAGTCAATATTCCTCTTACAAATCTGGCACCAACAAGCAGCATCCATCCTTACCTAAGACAGAACACTCTGCCTCCACATTTTGTCCCGCACCTTCCAATATTGCTTTGGACACTCCTACATGAGAAAATCAAGATGGTAACTTGACCAGAAAGACAGCCTTTGTATCCCAACATGCCCCATCATAGAGCAGGCCCATGCCTGGGCATTACTGGCAGAGAAGAAAATTTCAAAAATGTTGCTAGTTGTAAGGAAGCCCATTAAAATAACTTTAAAGCCCAAGTCTACAAAACCATTTTGTTTATAGAAACATTTCTTCATAGGATCTACCACACTGATTACTACATAAGACAGAATCCATCTCTGTAAGTTACCTGATTTCAGAGTAAATGTGTTTGATGTTGAATTGACAATCACATCTGCCACTTCTTTGGTGATGTCCCCTGTGGCTACTTGGAAGAGGATCGGGCCAATATTCATTTCGTGAACTCCTAAAGTAGGGCTGGAAAGACTGCCATAATAGCCTTCCCAGAAAGAAAAAAAAAGGGCAGAATCAGACGCCAAGTCATCAGAAGCAAGAGTAACTGAGGTCACAGCTGCCCTATCACTGTACTGGCAGTGGTCCAGGGCTGCGACAGAAGGATGGCTTGAATTTAGGAGTTTGGGGCCATCCTGGGCAACATAGCAAAGCAAAGCTCCAGTGACCCCAAACAAGATGAACTCAAACCGCATTTGTCAGAGAAGTGTGGGCTTGTATTGTCCCTTAATATGTCTCTTTAATAAGTTCCATAGTTTGATCACCATCATCCTTTACCTGTCACTGAACAGTTACTTTAAGAAATCAACAGTTACAAGAAATTACTGGTCAACTTAAGAACTTTACTGAACCTTGTGAGTCTTCAGCCTTGGGACTTTTGTCACTAGGGTTTCCATTACTCCTTCTGTCAAATTCATCTGAAAATACCTGGAAATACAAACACAGTTTTAGCCATTACACTCCCTCATGGATGAGTGAGTTTGCTTGTTCGGGCTTTGGATTCTGTATGTGCATGTGTAGTGATATGTGTAGTAAAGCCTTTGTGTCTGGCTTTAAGTGAAATGTATAGTAAAGCTTGTGTCTGGCTTTGAGAGAAAAGTTTCAGCAAAGCCTTTGCTATGTTGGCATTAATCTGTAGAGACTGGTAAATTGTTTTGAGACTGTTTAAACCTTAAATGTTGTCTCTCTGGACAATCTGTACTTGGTGCTACGAGAGAGCTTGCAGCTGCACCGACCTTGTCCTAAGACACTCATGGCAGACCCGGAGCTCTTACTTTTGATTGGCTGTCATAGTCAGAGGGGACTGAGTGTGGGTTGTCTGCTCTCATGGGTAGCAAGGGCAAGATAACTTTGCTCATTGGAACCTTTCCCAGTTCATATTGGCCTTGTATAAGATTGAATAAAGTAACTGGAGCTAGCTGGGTGTCAGTCTTTTCTTCTGCTCCTTCAGAAAGTGAAGGCTTAGCATCTTGGTGAGCTTCTCTCTACTGCAGTACCTACAACTCAACATCAAACAATACACACACACACACACACACAGAATTGGAAAATAATAACCCTCGAACAGGAGTATTTAATTTACTTCTATATTTTTAATTTACTTCTGTATTTTTAAAATTATAAAAATATACATATCCCTGGGCAGTGGTGGCGCACACCTTTAATCCCAGCACTCTGGAGGCAAAGAGAAAGGTGGATCTCTGTGAGTTCCAGGCCAGCCTGGTCTACAGGACAGGTTCCAAAGCTACAGAGAAACCCTGTCTCAAAAAACAAAACAAACAAACAAAAAACCCATCCTGTTAGACCAAGAAAACTTAGAACACAGGTTCAGAACTGCAGTTGGCAAAGTAATCAGAAGCAAGTCAAGTCTGTACCTTAATGTTTTCTTGGTCTTTCGGGTGCAGCAGAAACTGAACTTCCTGTAAAGATTTCAGGTTTCTGCTACTAAATTTGAGCACTTCTGAAATGATTAATTTAGCAAATTCAGGTTTAGGAAACCCCAGATTTCCTGTTCCTATTGCTGGAAATCCAATTGATTGCAGAGACTGCTCCTCGGCAATCCTCAGACAGTCTCTGATGATGTTCTTCATGACCTGAAAGGCACAAAGCACTTTGTTAAATGTCATATAGAAATCAAAGACCCCAGGAAATAAACACTCAGCAGCTTTTACTGGGAGCACTGTCCACTCTATTATGCTTTCAACAAAAAGTTAACAGCAGTCTAAAGAGAGACATTTAGGAGAAAAAAAGAGAAAGAGAATGTGAGATTCCCTTACAAGAGTGCAGACACATCCCACCATGAAGCAAAGAAGGGAAGCGACAGCTGTCCCTGTCTATCACTGTCCCAACCTCAAGCCCTCACCTTCCCTTTTCTTAATAAGTGTAGTGTATTCCCCAAACCCTTTCCTGACCATCAATAATTGCCAAGCACAAGAACTAACTTACATTATTAACTGTGTCCTACAAGAAGTCATCTACAACTGAAAAGAAATAGCCATGGTATGGGACCTGTCAAACTCATGATGCCGTCACAGAGAAGAAGCAGAAACCAGCTGTGTTGTGATATAGGAAGAGTCCAGAGAGCAACCCCATTTCCTGAAAAATATAAAGCTGGGTCGTACCTTCAGTGACCATGCACTGTTGTTGACTTTCCACTGTGGAACCACCACATGAAGTACATGGCGGCAGTTCAGATTATAGCCGCTGGTTTGTAGAATTGTGCCCACCCCAACAGTGACCCCTTGTCCTGCTTCATTCAATTCTTCCTGGAGTTGAGGTCCAGCTCTTTCCAATAAGGCCTGAGAAAGGGGTCCTTTGTTGAGTGCAAGATCCAAGGGAATGGAGGTGACAACAACATCGGTCTTAAAGACAAAACCAAAGATTCTTTTCAAAGTCTTAGTCAAGGCGTTCATCAACCATAACTACATCTGAGCCACCAGGCTTGGCACCAGGGAGACAACAGCTGCTGGTATACATTTTGTGATCGATGTTCAGAGAAACACAGCTCATAAAAGTCAGAGTGGAAACAATTCAAATGTCTATTGGCTAATGTTTGGGTAAAACAAATGTATAGTCATCTAATAAGATATTATGCAGGCACCTAGAAGGATAGAATGCTGACATATTCTACAACACAGACAATCCCTGGAAGAAACTGGTTACAGAAGACCACAAATACATTTCATTTACATGAAACTTCAAGAGTAGGTGAGTCTGTAGAGCCAGGAGTGGTAACATACACCTGTAATCCCAGCACTCAGGAGGCAGAGGCAGGGGGATCTCAGTGAGTTCGAGGCAGGCCTGGTCCACATTGCAAGCTTCAGGACAACCAGGCCTGTGTAGTAAAAAACACTGTCTCAAAAAGGAAATTAAGAAACAGACAAAACAACAGCATAGAATAGATGCTATCTAGAGCTGGGAAGGTGGAGTGATCAGGTAGATATATTAAGAATAACAGCTAGTGATCAGAAGATATATTAAGAATACCAGCTAGTGGGCACAAATTTCTGGTGGGATTAAAGTTCACTAATGTTAATTGCAGGTATGGTTGCATGATAATGGTTTCACACACACACACACACACACACACACACAGACACACACACACACGTTCATAGTACAAGGATTGCCCCAACATAGTCCCAACACCAAGACCTTCCATGTGTATTTTTAGTGAATATACTAAAAACCATTGTTGTGCCCACTTGAAATGAGAATTGTGAGGCTGGAGAGGTGGCTCAGAGGTTAAGAGCACTGGTTATTTTTCCAGAGGTCCAGAGTTCAATTCCCAGCAACCACATGGTGGTTCACAACCATCTGTAATGAGATCTGGTGCCCTCTCCTGGCCTGCAGGGATACATGCAAGCAGAACACTGTATCTTTAAAAACATGATTTATTCTTGGAAGGAAGGAAGGAAGGAAGGAAGGAAGGAAGGAAGGAAGGAAGGAAGGAAGGAAGGAAGGAAGGGTACTGTGAGTTACATAACACTGTTTAAAGAAAAAAAAAGTTTTCCTCAGCTTAGCCTGTGGGACTAGGGAGATAGCTTGGTGGTTAAAAGCACTGGCTGCTCCTCCGAAGGACTGGGGTTCAATCCCCAGTACCTACATGGCAGCTCACAACTGTCAGTAACTCCAATTCCAGGAGATCTGACACTCTCATACAGACACAGATGCAGGCAAAACACCAATTCACATGAAATAAAAATAAATACACATTTTTTTAAGTTTCAGTTGTATCACTGCTGATCCGAGTACACCAAGAACTTAGAGATACTTTTTCTTGTAAAACAATTCAAAGCAAACAGGGTCACAATGTCTAGTTCATTCCATCTATTATCATAGCCAGCATATTCAACTGTTTGTTGTTTAAAGGTAGTGGGAACAAGTGACACCCAGTGGTCATAATTTAGGACTCTGATTTTGGTCTTTAAACAAAGCTTTTAAGGACTGGCTAAAAATGTCACTGTAGGGGCTGGAAGGAATGTGAGTCTCTGCCCCTCCTTCCTGCATCTCCCTCATGCTGCTTTTACAGATGTGTGCCTCCACACCTGGGTTATACAGTGCTAAGGGACTGAACCCAGGACTTCATGCCTGCTAGGCAAGTGCTCTACCAACTGAGCCACAACCAAGCCTTTGTCTTTAAAAGCAGAACAGTAACAACAAAATGCTCAGAGCAGTCTGAGAGGCAGAAAGGGCAGTTCATTCAACCCTGAGCCCCAACTCCTCCTGAAGCAAACAGAAGGATGGGACAGACATTCACTGGAGGATGACACAGTCTAGAGAGAAATGAAGCTACTGGTCAGGAAGCAGGCATTAACCTGCCCTGCTTCAGATAGCTATAGTTCTTATTAGTAGAGTCTGTGTTGGAAAGGGTATTAAGTACTTTTCAGGAAGAAGGGAAAGAAAACAGGTCTCACTGTGTTGCCCTGGCTGGACTGGAATTCTATGTAGACCAGGTTTGTCTTGAACTCATAGAGATTTTCCTGCCTCTATCTCACAAGTGCTGCAAATAAAGGCATGTGCCACCATGCCTAGCTAAACACACACACACACACACACACTCTCTCTCTCTCTCTCTCTCTCTCTCTCTCTCTCTCTCTCTCTCTCTCTGGTGCTGAGGGATGTGACACAATGGGTAGGAGCAGTGGCTGCTCATGCCTGTATCCCCAGTGTGTGTGTGTGTGTGTGTGTGTGTGTGTGTTGTGTGTTGTGTGTTGTGTGTGTAGGCTAAGACATGATTGCTGGGGCTTTCTAGCTGCTAGCCTATCCAAAAATCATTAGCTTCCTGCAACAAATACACAAAACAAGAATTGTCCTTACATGATCGCAGCATCTGGACCTTCCCCCTGCCCACCCACTCACTCCTTCTTCACAAAGGACCCCCAGATGGGAACTGAGCTCCCTCATCCTCTCCAGCCCCCAAGCTCACCCTTGCTCATGACTTTGGACAGATTCCTGTCCTCTGTGTTCCCTAGGCTCTTTTCCACACCTGTAACTGACAGAAGCCAACCCTAGAAGACCAAACAGGACAGATGGACAGTGATGAAAATGCAGAGAGAAATGCAGTGTCTCCTGCTGTGGACCACAGTCACTGGGATGGGGTGACCTTTCTCAGTGCCCTTTCAGTTCTTAGACACATCTGATCTCTACTCCTGAGTGATATGGCAATCCAGAATCTATGGGAAATGAAGGCCCGAGCAGGAGAACATGGAATTTTCCTTGGTCCTTTCCCTCCACCCTGTTGTTCTTTGGCCCTCAATAAAGCAGGCACAGGCCAGTGACATCACAGCACATTGGTGGTGACAGGGACACTCACCTTTGCGTGCTGCACACCTTCCTCCACCAGCTGGATTCTCAGGCCTTCTGGTGACACCAGCAGACAGCCCTCTCCCTGTGGCATTTTCCCAGGTGGTACCAATTCTAAGGCTCCTAAATTGGGTGAGGAAGCAGTGCGGGAGAGGGTGGCCTTATATGCAGTTTCTACAGCTTCAGCAAAGGCCCCAGTAACCTTTGCAGATATGTCCACCAGATAAATCTTTTTCAAGGTGCGTCTGAGTGGTTTACGTTGGAAGTTGTCTTTGATGGCTGAAACAATAGTTGTCACACACTGGTCTAAGGGAAAGTCAAAGATTCCAGAGCTGATGGCTGGCATGGCTATGGATTGACACTTGTACTCCTCAGCTAAAGTGAGACTTCGATCCACAGCTTTTTTTAACAGACTCACACACTCCCGGGCCTTATCTCCCTTCCACCTAGGTCCTACTGCATGGATGACATGACGGCAAGGGAGCTTGCCTGATTTTGAGATAACGGCATTGCCAGTAAAGACCATGCCGCTATTTTGTACTATTCTGTCACATTCTGCTTGAAGTTCAGGGCCAGCTGCATTTGAGAGAGCTTTCGCGAGACCATTAATGTGTTTCAGATTCTCATTTGCTGCATTCACTACCACATCGGCAGGAAACTGAGCCAGGTCTCCCTGCTGTACTATCAGCGTGACTCCAGGGGCTATGTCCTTCTGTAAGTGGCACTTCTGCTCCTTAAGGCTGCCTTTCTCCTCATCTCCACCCTCCTGGAGTTCAATGACGCATCCATACAGGCGTCTGATCTCAGTTTTGTAATACGATGCTTTGTCTTGGAAGAAGTGCCTGGCACCAGGCTTATCGATCTGGAATCTTTGAATGCAGGCTGAATCCTGGATTTGCTTGACCATGTTCACACACTCCAGAACTTTGCTTTTAGAGCCAGTTAGTAAAATGCCTTTTGATTCTTCCTCCAGCTTAAAACTTGCCTGCACATTTGCCTTCCTTATTTTGGGCCAGAATAGCTTCCTGTCTGTCTTTACATACTCAATAATCAAGGGTGATTCTATTTCAACCAGTCTTTCAATTTTCATGTTGTTTTCCAAGAACACAAAAAGCTGGCTATAGATTTCATTTACTTCTCTCACACAGCCCGCAACGATGACCTCAGCCGGCATTCCTGAAGTTAGTTCGTTCCTTATTATAATGGTTGCGGTGGAGATGTATCTCTTTTGCAGAGGGTGAATTTTCTTTTTCCACACATTACCTCTAAGAACTTCCTTGTCTTCAACTTCAATGAGCTTATAACTTAAGGCATCGAGAATTTGCTTCTCTGCTTCTTCCAGGGCTCTGAAAGAACAGGCTGTCAGGAGAAGAGTTCTGTCCTTCAGCTCATATGTGGCGAGAATCTTCTGTGCCTCAAAAAGAGTCTTGGAGAACTCCTGACTGTCTACTTGCTGCAGGAACATGAAGATTTCAGAAGGAACCCGGATGTCTTTCTGAGACATGGAATACACCTTTTCCTGGATGTCACACTTTACTTTATACACATCTACACGGAATCCCTTAAAGCACAGGTGCTGAGTGGCAGCATCGTAATGTATCTCCATCTCTGGGTACTCTTTGCTTAGATTCTTCAGAAAGCCACTGTGTTCCAAAAGAAAATGTTTCCCCAGAGAAATGGCCACTTTCTCCTTCACACTCTGCTCCTCCTTTCTGACCTTTTCCGTGGTGCTGTCTATTAATTCCTTGATTTTCTGACTGATGTCTTGGACATCTTCTGATTTTCCTGCTATGGTGAGACTATCCTTGTCAAACTCAATCAAAACCCTGTCATCTGTTAACTCATGCCCTATGATGTCCCACACTGGCGAATACACTTCAAACACCTTAATTTCATATTTAGACCTGATGGCAGAGAGCACTTTGGATGCGTCTCTCTGCCAGGTCTTAATGCTTGGTCTATGATTGGCTAAGGTGGCAGCAGGTCTGATGGTCAATGTGCCATTGATTTCAGACCACATTAGCTCACAGTGACAGTGTCTCATTTTGTCATTTATCTCCTCGATGAGATGATTATTCTTTTGAAAGAACTTCCACAAAGGAAGACCCAGTGACTCTTGGAAAGATGCTGGGAGCTTGACCAATGGCTTCTCCTCTCCATATAAAGCTGTGCCCAGAGAGGGATAATAGGGGAAGACAGAGAGTGGCATCTTGTTGAAGCTGTGTTTCTTGGCCATAATGGTGTCTAACACTGTAAAGCAAAATAAATAGCATAATCTCAATGACATGCATTTCCAAAGAACACAAAGCAAAACAAACTTTCTAGAGGATGAAAGTCTCTGATTTTTGTAGAACTCAAAGGTAGCATTTCCAGAATGCTCAGCCATGAACTGATACATGCTAACTACAACAAGGCAGACTTTATTTAGTGCAATATTTACTTTATACCTAACCACTGTACACTGAAATCATGTTTTGTTCTGTTGTTTTTCTGATGTCATTGATGTATGTGGCACAATAAGAAACAGATACTGGGAGCTGTAGAGAAGGCTCAGAGGTTAAGAGCACTGGCTGCTCTTCCAGAGGTCCTGAGTTCAATTCCCAACAACCACATGGTGGTTCACAATCATCTGTAATGAGATCTGGTGCCCTCTTCTGACCTATAAGCACACAGAACACTGTATACATAATAAATAAATCATTAAAAAAATCCTTTATATATAAAAAAAGAAACAGATACTAAGTTGGATACAAGCATGCGGCTGCTGTTTGTACCAACACAAAGAACATTTTAAGAGCTGGAGATATGGTTCAGTGGTTAAGAGCACTGGTTGCTCTTCCAGAGTACCAGGGTTCAATTCCCAGCACCCACACAGCAGCTTACAGCTGTCTAGAACTCCAATTGCAGGTGATCCAACACCCTCACACAGATGTATATGCAGGCAAAACACCAAAGCACATAAAATAAGAAAAATAATAAATTATTTTTAAAAAGAATGTTTTAATCCTCTGGGCATGCCATTCTACCATCTGTCCCTTCGTGTCCAGTCCCAGAATTTACCTTTCATAGCAACTTAAATTCACAGGAGAAGCATAATTGTACACACTTTTTCAAGGGCTTTACCTGATTTAATGTCTTTAATCTTGACACTGGCCTTGTCAGGTAGAAATTCTATTATACTCTGACTAAAGATGAGAAAGCTAAGGCTGGGAATGGTCAGGGTTCCATAAACCAAGGGAAGTATCTGAGCAATGGCCAGAGTGAGCCAACCCAGACTCCATGTTCTTGCCCCTATACCAAATCAAAATCATTCTCACAGTTGTTGGACAGCCCAGCCCCAGGGGACACATTTAGGAAAGCCTTCCCGGTTATAATCTCCTGTCCGTCATGTGTACCAGGGCAGCCACCACAACCCACCCCTGGGTGAATGCTCTCATTCTCTCTCTTGCTGCAGGACTCACCCCACATTGTTTTAGTTATTAGGCAAGTGTAAGTAGTATTTGCATGGAATAGAGTCAATATAGCAACAACATGGATTTAAATAGCATCCATGGTAGAAAGATGCTAAACTGTAATACCCTAGTAAAGGACTCCATCCTAGGGCAGGTTCAGGCCTGAGGGAAAGAATGTGGCCTTCAGAGGCGCAGGATCTCACAGGGCTCCAGAGAGACTGGATAGCCTGAGTGACCGAGAGCTTGGACTCAGCACCACGTCACACCAAGCAGTGTTCATGGATTATTTCATTTACTCCTCACAGCACGCTTGAGGTAACTCCTAATGTGCTAACACTATAGGTGAGAAAACAGAAGGTTTGAGGGTTAAAGGTCACAAAGCCAATGAACACGAATCAGGCAGTCCTCAAGTCTATCTGACTCAAGAACCATTGAAGATGATTCCAGTCTCGATCCTGAGGTTATGAGACACCGCCTGCCCCATTATGTCCTGCGTCAGCACAGGGGCAGCAGAAGGGAGAATTAGAGATCCTCTGTAGAACTATACGTGCTTCCAAGTCCAACTTTACCACAACTTGGGAATCAAAACACAGCTCTATTTCCTTGTGTCACAAGTTCCTAGAATGGTGACTTTTTCAGTCATAGGTGGGACTCGTGAGACGCTCTCCCTTGTCTCTCATCAGCTTGTGTTGCTTCGCCAGAGCCTGCCCTGCTGCTCTCATTCTGCACCAAATCCAAATGATGCCACTTCTGACAGACTAACAAATGCACGAGGATTTAAGTAACAGCTGAAATGGCCAAACATCCAGGTTATGTCCAGGATAGCAGGCCAAGACACATTACCTTTGCTGTCCAAAAACTCAACCAGCGCTGAACTCTCTTCCGGGAAACATTCAACATGGGCGACTCTCCCACCCCCGTTGAAAGGGTTTTCAAAGTAGAGCTGCAGCTGGAAGTCATCTACCCCAGGAGGCAGGTTTTCCACCCTAACTACATTTGTTGTTTCCAGAAGTTTTGGGACAAGCTGAAGTTGTCGGTTTGTATGGTGACTGATACAATCAGTAATAAATTTTTTGGTATCTACAAAACAAAAATAAAGTGAGAAAATTTTGATGACATCTCTGTGTGGTATAGAAGAAATGGCTTGGCTACAAGTGAGAAGGGGGAACTAGCCAATTGCTGTATTTTCTGCCACCGAACTGACCAACCCTCCTGATTGCACTCCTTACAATGCCACCCTCTCCCCACTGTCTCAAGACCCCTGATGCCCACTATGTCAACAGGTAGGAACCCACATCCACAGCCAGGCTAGTGACTCCAAACACATATCCAAGTAGCACATTCAAAATGTGGTAACATTTTCTTGTTACCACAAAAAAACTAGTCATGAGCCAGGTGATGGCAGGAGATGCCTTTAACCCCAGCACTTGAGAGGCAGAGACAAGCAGATAGATCTCCATGAGTTTGAAGCCAGCCTGGACTACAGAACAAGTTCACAGACAGCCAAGGCCACACAAAAACAAACCCCTGTCTCAAAAAACCAAAACTAACTAACCAGCCAAAAAAAAAAAGAAACAATTAGTCATGTTTTTAAAGTTCTCTTCTTTTGTCCTTGCATGTACAATTGCCCATATCTGCAATTCCCGTGTCTGCAATGCCTGTGTCTGCAATGCCCATGTCTGCAATGCCCATGTCCAAAATGTTCTTCTCCAACATGGGAGATGGAGGGGCTGTTGTTTTATTGTGATGCTAAGGATCAAACTGAACCATGCTACCAAAATAGGGCTATTTCTACAGCCCTCCTCCATTTTTCCAGAGGGTTCTATTTATCCTTCAGCTTAACTATCTCTTTTAAATTAATAGGGTAGATGGTGGGCCTACGATGTGCCAATCATTGTGCTGGGTGGGATCTGGGAAATGAATACAAGTCCTGGCTTCTGTATCACTGGGAAGGTGTTGATCTTGAACACAAATGAGTTGTCTTTTGGAGATCCAATAAGGAACAGATAAAACTGGGACTCAGACTCCGAGTGTATATGATCTACATATGGTCTCTAATTTGAAGATTAAAGTGGGGGGCCGCCAAAGAGAAGGAGGGAGCAATGGCAGCATGAACAAGCTTGGTGCCCCCTAGGGAGGCTTTCGAGGACTTCACAGGCGGTGTGGCCCAGAGCATTCAGCTCCGGAAGCCCCCTCAGAACACGCTCTAAGGCTCAGGTGACAGTGCTGAAGGACACACTCAGGTGAGCACAACTATGCAGGTTCTTGTCTCCCGCCTCCCCAGGTTACTACAGCCGAGAGACAACTTCTCTTTCATCTTCATTATTCATTTGTACACATGTCTCCTTCCTCCTCCCAGACTGGGCTCCACTAGAGAGGGAACTATGGTTTCAAGATCTATCTTTGTGTCTCAGCCACTAAACTGGTGCTTGGCTCATAACAGTGACTATAGTTTAGATTGAAACTGTCCCAGAGGCTCACGTGTTAAATTTAGGCTTAGTGTTCAACTTGGTGCTATGGGGAAGTACTGGATCCTTCAACAAGTGAGACCTGAGGGAAATGTTCCAGTCACTGTGTGGGGAGGGAGGGGACAAAATGACCCTGGCTTCCTCCCCCACCTCCTTCCCTCCCTCATCTCTCCCTCCCTTCCGGTCATTAGGACGAACAATTTTACATCTGCTTCAACATAAGCCCCAAGGCAACAGGGCTAGATCATGTACTGAAGCCACCCAAACTGTGAAATGCAATGAACCTCTCTTTTTGGAGGCCGATTCCCCCAGGTATTTGGTGCAGTAACAGAAAGCTAACACAGTGTGTATTCGAGATTGTTGTTCCATGAACAACAAGATTTTTTTTGATGGTTTCTTTTTTATTCTTTTCGTTCTTTTTCCTGTATGCATCTTTTCTTTTTTTCTTTTTCTTTTTAATTTAAGTTAGAAACAAGCTTGCTTCACATGTCAATCCCCAGAGCAAGATTATTTACATTTAAATTTCCCTTTATGGGTCTGGAGAGACAGCTCAGAGGTTCACAGTACTTGGCCCCTTTGCAGAGGACTGTGGCTCGGTTCCCAGCATCCACTTGGAAGCCCACAACTGTCTGTAACTCCAGGGGAATCAATGCCCTCTACTGACTTCTGCAGGCCCTGCATGCATGTGGTATACAGATGTGCAGGTCAAGTATTCGTAAACATAAAATAAACAAATCTCTAAATTTCCCTTCATAATAAAAATAAACTTGAAATAATAATAGTGTCCTTTACTGAATCCTTACTATGCTTCAGGTACTATGTTAAGTATCATCTCACTTAATCTTCACAGTAAGTATGATCATCCCCATTTTATGGATGAGTGGATAAGGAATAGAGAAAATAATAACTTGGTCAGCTTCATACACATAGTTAAGTGGCAGGGCTAGAATTCTGACCACAGCACCTGTGAGCTTGACTGACATCCCATTGCCATGGCCATGGGACATGAGGGCTTGGATTTGGAAATTTGCCCTGTTCTAGGTAGAGCTGGGTCTTGATTGTGACAATGACTTACCGAAGCAACCATTTTCTTTTTCATGTTTATGTGTGTGTGTGCATTTGGAGGTCAGAGGACAACTTGTATGAGTCCCAGGGATCAAACTCAGACTTGGCGTGCCTTTGCCCATTCCTCCATTTTGCTGTCTGGAGCGCTCATTTCCCTCATTAAGTGGGCTCCCTCATCTCTGCATGTATGACCATGAAAGGGTTATACCAAGGAGAAGTGTGGTAAAATGGTAGGAAAATGGGGAGTAGATGCCGGGGATCAACTTCAGTTCCTCCATCTCTCAGCAACATCGAGGGGTGGTTGAAAGGAATGAATAAGTTAACACATGCAGAGTTTAGCAAGTGCCTGCCTTATGGCAAGCATTGAGGATAACTTCCTTAGCAACATTGGCTTCCAGTAAGTGTGGCATGGTAACAAGTCAGTCTTAACTCCTCTGGGGGACATAAAGTGAGAGTTCAAACCCCTCCACTTTGAATCGCCTTAGACTTTCTATTTCCCTCCCCACCCTACTCAACGCCACCCACTCAAACAATCATATACTAAAGGGCAGTCTGTTAGAGATACCCAAATTGGATCTCAAAATGAATTTGTTTCTTTTTCCAAAATCTGAGGCCTCATTTACTTACTACAACAAAGAGTCAAACTTTCAGAGATGTCCCAAATCCTGGGGTCTGGTGGACAGAAGTCCAGGATAGGGACCCTCCCAGGACTCACCTATAGGCTTCTGAAAGGTAACCACAGCCACGCCAAAATCTCGGATCACTTCCACTTTAAAGTCATCACTGGGGAGGCCACTTATATTCTCCACTAGGATGGTCAGCACTATGTCACTCACTTTCTCCGGCAGATTTTCAAATGCCACCATGGAGGAAATATTTTCACATTCTGTGGGTACATCTTCCATTTTTTCTGATCTGTCACTGGGAGAATCTGTTATATGCAAATCATCTGATTAAATTGGAAATGACAATGAAAGGTGTAAGGTATTGAATCATGGTTTTATTAAGTAAATTATCCTGAGACACCCTCCCCCTCTCCTCTGGCTTCCTGCCTCTTGGCTAACTCCACTGAAAGGAAATCTTGAATAGGGGAGATTTTGCTTTAGTGAATTAAAAACTAAAATGTAGCCATTTGTGGTAGCACATGCCTTTAATCCCAGCTCTCAGGAGGCCGAGGCAGGCTGTTCTCCATGAGTAAGAGGCCAGCCTGGCCTACAGAGTGAATTCCAGGACAGCCAGGACTGTTTCACAGAGAAACCCTGTCTTGAAAACCTGATAGATGATAGATAGATAGATAGATAGATAGATAGATAGATAGATAGATAGAGAGATAGAGAGATAGAGAGATAGAGAGATAGAGAGATAGAGAGATAGAGAGATAGAGAGATAGAGAGATAGAGAGATAGATAGATAGATAGATAGATAGATAGATAGATAGATAGATAGATAGATAGATAGATGAATAAATAAGCCTAAAATGTATTGTTGGATATTTGTTGTTATTATTGTCAGTGAACTAAAAAGTAGCATTGGTTTTGTTGTTGTTGTTATCACTAATTCATTACTTTGTTCTACTTTGTCTTTCTGAGGAATGGACATCGTCCCTCACATATGCCTCTGGAGTACTACACTGTAATTATGGAACCGGGCTTCTAAAAGCAAGGCACGGCTTTCTTCATCTTTGTGTTGCTGGCACACGGCATACAGCTGAAGCTCATCAGATGTTCACTGAATTAGAGAACTATGGTTGGCCTCACTGGAGAAAAGCCGGATATTTGAAGTGTGTACACATTCATGCTAAACAAAATAATAGTGGTTTTGTGTGGGGGTGTTTGGTGTTTTGTTTGTTTTTTTTTTTTTTTTTGAGACAGGGTTTCTCTGTATTGTTTGGAGCTGTCCTGGAACTCTATAGATCAGGCTGGCCTCAAACTCAGAGATCCCCCTGCCTCTGCCTCTCAAGTGCTGGGATGTGTGCTACCAACGCCCAGTTTACAAAATAATAGTTTAAAGATTAATACTATAACAGTATCAATGAGGAATGACTCAGTGGGTAAGAAAGCTTGCTGTGTAAATGTGAGGGCCAGAGTTTGAATCTCCAGAACCCTCGTAAACAGCTGGCCACGGCTACATGTGCTCAGTGTAGAGAGCAGAAATGGGCAGACACCAAGAGCTCCCTGGCTAGCAAGCCTAGCCAAAAGGGAAAGCGTCAGGTTCAGTGAGACACCCAGTCTCTAGACCCGGAGGCAGAGTGATGGAGGGAAGAAAGAATTCCTTTCTCTCAGACTTGGGGGTCTGCATCTCTTGGTTGCTCTTGCTTGTCTTACTCAGCACAGTTCTTCATTTGGTACCCTTTATAAACATAGTATTAGTTGCTCCTTCATTTAAGTCTGGGGCAGGAAATGGCCCCGCCCACTCACTAGTAAACCAGGAGAACCCACCTCTGGCTGTTCCCTGCAGCGGATGAGGAAGGAAGAGCTGGTGCTGGGAAGCTGGGGTCCACCTAAGATACACTAAGTGTTTGCAGAGCGCTGCTACCCAGAGAGGCACACAGCAAGCATCTATTATATGCCCTGTCCTTGCTAAGTGGCCACCCAAGCACAATGTCCATCACCACCTCCCAGGCCTTCCTCCTCTCTCCTCAGCTGCACACAATCTCCCAGTACCAGAGAGAGCTGGTCCTGTTTCTCTCATGGGAGCCTGACGAGGTGAAGGTGCTCCCACAGGGAATGAATGCTTCCTACACATCTGACTGAGACTGGAAAGATGATGCAACTCTAGACACTCCAAGCTGAGCAGGTCCTGTGTACTGTGAATCTAGAGCGATCTTCCAAGCAACTTGTTTAATAAACACAAACTGCCTGGTGAACACTACGGCCTTCTTAGCTGAGACTTACCTGTCTTTGCAGCATCTTTTTTTATCTTGGATTCCTAAAACCCAAACAGTAAGACAGCATTAATACACAAATCATTTCTTTTTTGTTTGTATCTTTGATTTTGTTTATTTGTTTTTTCCAGACAGGGTTTCTCTGTGTAACAGTTCTGGCTGTCCTGAAACTTGATTTGTAGACCAGGCTGGCCTTGAACTCACAAAGATCTGCCTTCCATTGCCTCCTGCATGCTGCTGGGATTAAAGGCGTGCACCACTACAAATAATTTCATATAATAAATAAAACACTTCTTGGGCCAGATGGAGATGTAAGCTAATTATAAATTGAAATGATAATGACACACTTGGCTAAGGGGCTGGTGAATGGAACTGAGACTACACATCACAGTGTGTCTTCTTTGCTGGTCACAACAATCATTGATGAAATGCAACACACACAAAAGTCTCCAGCTCATGCCAAGGGTAGCCATGGTTTCCCTCAGTTGGCACTTATTTCATGTTTATTATATGAGCACAGGGCATGTGCTTCAAAGAGGTCCCTGGCAATCTTCTTCACAATTGAGGGAACACCATGTGCACTGCTGGTCTCTCAAGATGATGAAAACAAAACGGCAGGCTTCTGGTTATAAAGGAGTCAGAACAAATAGATGTAAACTTTGACATCCCAAATTTATTATTATTGCAGCTCCAAAATCTTCACTCTGCCAAAAGTGTCAGAAAATGACCGCTTCTTCATTGTTTACAAACCTGCCTCCCTCCATAGTTCCAGCCACCATTCTTATGCTAGTGTGAATTAGCCCTCATCTATCGTTTTTTCTTTTCTTTTTTCTTTTTGGTTTTTCAAGACAGGGTTTCTCTGTATTGCTTTGGAGGCTGTCCTGGAACTTGCTCTGTAGACCAGGCTGGCCTCGAACTCACAGAGATCCTCCTGCCTCTGCCTCCTGAGTGCTGGGATTAAAAGTATACACCACCAACGCCCAGCCAATTTTCTTTTCTTTTTGAGACACAGTCTCACTATGTAGCCTTGGCTGGTCTGGACTCACTATGTAGATGAGGCTAGCCATGAACTCATGGAGATCTTCCTGCCTCAATTTCCCAAGTGCTGGGATTAAAGGTGAGTACCACCCCACTCAGCACATCTTCACCATATTTCATCATGAGGAGTCCCACACCTTGGAACAACACCGTGTGTTCTTACCGTTTCTGGAACTGCCTCCTTAGAGACTGAGGCTTTATCTGGGTCTTCGGGCAACCGGACAGTTAATTTGAATGTCCCTTTTCCTTGCCACACTAACTCATGATTTTCTTTCTCCAGAACATTCTGACGAACTGAAACATTAAAAAAAAAGTTCTAAGCCAAACTGCAAGCAATCTTTACTTACACAATCAGTCCTTGACTTCCACAGATTTCACTGTTCTGAGCCAGCAGCTCAGCCAGTCCCCTAAGAAGCAAGCTCTTGTAAAAGAAGGAAAACTTACTGGATGGATTTGAATTTCACCTTTAAACTTACTTTGTGTGCATTATTCATGTTGTGTACAGGTGGCACACATGGAGGGGTGTGCATCCCTGGTCTCATGGAGGCCACAGCAGGACACTGGCTGACTCCCGCCATCACTCTGCCTCCCATTCTAGAGACTGGGTGTCTCACTGAACCTGACGTTTGCCCTTTTGGCTAGGCTTGCTGGCCAGGGAGCTCTTGGTGTCTGCCCACTTCTGCTCTCTACACTGGGCACATGTAGCCCTGGCCAGCTGTTTATGAGGGTACTGGAGAGTCAAACTCCGGCCCTCACATTTACACAGCAAACTATATTACCCAGGGACCCATTGTCCTGCCCCTAAACTTACTGGGGCATTGTTGATGTAGTTTTATTTTGTTTTGTTTTGTTTTTGTTGAGACAAGTACTGGCTTTGTAGACCAGGATGGCTCAAACTCACAGATATCTGCCTACCCCTGTCTTTCAAGTGCTGGGATCAAAGCATGTACTGCCATGCCAGGATTACTTTTTTTTTTTTTATTGTGTATACAGTCTTCTGCCTGCATGCCAGCGGAGGGCACCAGATCTCATTCAAGGTGGTTGTGAGCCACCATGTGGTTGCTGGGAATTGAACTCAGGACCTCTGGAAGAACAGTCAGTGCTCTTAACCGCTGAGCCATCTCTCCAGCCCCAGGATTACTTTTTAATATTCATTGCTTTAGCTTAGATATGGAGTGTTCCCCAAGGGCCTTGAGATTACAAACACAGTTGCCAGCTCTTAGTCTAACAGGAGGTCTGAAAGTTTTAAGAAGTGGGGCCTAGAGGAAGTCAGATTCTGCCAGAGGAGAGGGGGTGATCCTGGGACCCTAGCCCTTTACTCCCTTCTTAATCAGTTCATAGCCAAGAGTTCTCGACAGGGTGTACTCCTTGTGCCATTGGCCCAAAAGCAGCAGGCCAACTGACTGTTGACCAAAAACTCCAAAACCATTGAGCCCAGATAGACCCTTCTTCTATTCAAGCTAATTATCTCAGATATGTTATCACAGCAATGGAACTCCAGTGAACACTGTTAGCATCCTGCTAAACAAACTCTACTTACAAAGCCCCCAGTCTTCTTATTGGCTAATGAGCTTATCAGGAATGTTTTTGAGCCAGTAAACGTATTACATTGAAGAAATATAAAGAGTTTAGTAGTACTGTACCTGTACTGTACTCGGTAGGCACTGAAAGTAGAAATACTTATAAATATTGGGATGACTGGGTACATGGTGTGATGAAAGCCATGTTTTAGAGAGGTGACCCAGTTGGCCATTATCAGAATGACTGGGAGTCCAGCCATTTCAACTAACACCTCAGCTTGCAATGATAAACAACCCATACTTAGTAGTAAAGGGAGAAGAAAAAAAAGGAATAGAAGATATTTTGCAAAAATAGAATTAGAGCACCGGACAGCTGAACTATTGTGAAAACTGACCAGAATCCAAAGATTTGCCATTTGATTTCCAACTCACCCACAAACTAGCTGAGTAGCTATAAAGAAACAAACACCTCTGGAGCTGAGGTTTCCCTCACTGAAAGTGTTTTCAAGGAATGCTGTCAATCACATGAAGAGTTATGAAAATGTAAATTGTAAGCATCACAAGCAGCAGCCAGAGAAAGTAGAGGAAAACCAGTGTAACTCAGACCATGGAGAACAGGGAAGGAACAGGAGGGGCGTGGCCATCATAGAGAAGAACAGGAAAGAAAAGGAACCGGAAGGGGTGTAGCCAGCATAGAGAACAGGAAGGGCGTGGCCATCATAGAGGAGACCTGAAACAGAATAGGAGGGGCGTGGCCAGCTAGAAAATAGTGCAAACAGGTCAAGGAGAAAGATACCAGAGTCTTACTGTTCACAGCTACAGCTAAACATTGGGTTCCTGTTCTCACATGGTCAGCTAGTCTGATGAGCTCAGAGCCACCAACACCTGACCAATTTTTTTTTAAAGAAAATTAGTTTCCGGCCGGGCGTTGGTGGCGCACGCCTTTAATCCCAGCACTAGGGAGGCAGAGGCAGGCGGATCTCTGTGAGTTCGAGACCAGCCTGGACTACCAAGCGAGTTCCAGGACAGCCTCCAAAGCCACAGAGAAACCCTGTCTGGAAAAAACCAAAGAAAAAAAAAAGAAAAAAGAAAATTAGTTTCCGCTGGGCATTGGTGGCGCACGCTTTAAACCCAGCACTCGGGAGGCAGAGGCAGGCAGATCTCTGTGAGTTTGAGACCAGCCTGATCTAATCTACAGAGTGAGTTCCAGGACAACCTCCAAAACAATACAGAGAAACCCTGTCTCGAAAAACCAAAAAAAAAAAGAAAAAAAGAAAAAAGAAAGAAAGAAAAAGAAAATTAGTTCCCTTACTTCAAGATTACCTAGGCTCTCACATAATAAACAGGAGCCCATTTGGGACTAGAAAGTATGATAAAGTGTGCCCATGTGAAATGGGGTTTACAGTGGTTTTGAGTTTGGATCTGAGAGTGTAGCTCAATGTCCTAACACAAAAGACATACATACTCAACAGTACACAAATCCAGTTAACCTACAAGAGTGAGATCTTCCATTACTGACTGGTATACACTAATTTCTGTGGGGGTGGGTGGTGTTGCTGGTCGGCTATTGTAGAATTATATGAATAAAGTCATGCCTGCTCAGGCTACTTCAGAGACAGGAGTTGTGGCCTCTACAGGAAAGGAATGCTGCCCTAGGACAGCAGGGAAATTCCAGCTGGCTTACTGCTGAGGATGTGGTGCCTCAGATAGGAAACTGAAAGTGAACTGAAATTCTAGTTGCCCTAAAGACTGACCCATAAACAATGCTACATTTTCATGTACCTAGTCTTCTATGAAATGAGAGGTATCACCTGAGACACCCGGGAGAGGAGGGGGTCTGTGGGCTGGGAGCACTCACCCTTGCCCAGCCCACCTTCACCCCCCCAAGGGGAGAGCTGAGCACAGATCTGCCTTTGACCTTTGGGTTGTGAGCTCAACCTTCAACCCACCTGCCCAGGGATCTGCTGTGAAGGCTAGAACTGGAATTGTATCATCACAACCATATTTTCCTATGCTGTGTGTCATTATACTACCAATATCTTATATACATCTCCATTTTGTTGGCTTAGGGGTCTCAATAAACAACAGAGATTTTTCAAACTTCAGTACGTCCCGTCACTGCAGAGGGCTGGTGGCACCTGATTCCTCTCACCCACACTCACTGTTCTAAACTGTCTAGAATAGAGCTGGGGCTGTGTCTAATTACCCCACCCTCCCTGTGACCACGATGCAGTAGTCTGTACCCCCAACATTCGACCAACATTTGAGGACAGCTCTAGAGAAGAACGCACTCCATAAAGGCCATGTCTACTGGGGCATTGACCCCTGGAATCAAACTGGGAACCTCTAACCCTCTACAGTGATTTTCAACTTGTGGGTAGTGACCCTTTTGAGGAATCAAATGATCTCTCACAGGTGTTGCCTAAGACCATCAGAAAAAAAGATATTGACATTATGATTCATAGCCGTAGCAGAATTGCAGATATAAAGTAGCAATGAAAAGAAAAATGTATTATAGGGTCACAGCATTAGGGAGGTTGAGAACCACTGCTCTAGGGAAAGTGATGATGAGAAAACAGGTTCTGCTGCCAGCTGTCTAGCAAGCACTCCCTGGTGAAATCAAACCTAGGACAATACAGGGCCTGCTTTCTAGAAAGGGCCAGTGCCATGCAGGTCTCTCCTGCCCTCCAGCCTAGGCTTTCTGAAAACCTGTGTCTGTGCCTTCTTTTTCTTTCAGTTTTCTTTCTTGGAACTCTCTGCTGGACCTGTTACCTTGCCTACAGCCTTGACTTCCTCTGGCCTCCTTGCCTCTCCTCTGGCCCAAATGTTTCTCCAAATCCAAGGACAAGAAGGAGGAACTGTCTGTATTCTGAGGATGACCGTGGTCTACAAAATCTCAGGTGGGAACTAATGGTGGCCTTCCGGAAGCCGCAGGTCTGGGGCTTCAGCTCACCCACCTGAACAAGCAGGCAAGGCTGGGCCTCCCTTGCAGATTGCAGACAGAAGTGGGGGACACTCAGCTGCTCAACTGTCCGGGAGGCCTTCCATCGATGAGGGAAACCCCACCCCACTCCCACCTACGCCCACCCCACCTCGGATCAAAGCTCACAGCCACCTCAGGCCACCCTGGAGATGAAGAACAAAGCAGGAACAAGACCCCCAGGCTGTGGGACAAGAGCTTTGGGGCTTTTCCCTCCTCAAGCTCAGCCCCCAAAAACACCCTGTCCCCAGAATCCTGCCATGCTAACTGACCCAAGTTTCTTTATCTTTTCCTACACCGCTTGAATAATAAAAACAGTAATGTTAAAATAAGAAAAAGAAAGAATGGCAGAGAGAGAGAGAGAGAGAGAGAGAGAGAGAGAGAGAGAGAGAGAGACAGAGAGAGAGAGAGAGAGAGAGAGAGAGAGAGAGAGAGAGAGAGAGAGAGAGAGAGAGAGAGAGAGAGAGAGAGAGAGAGAGAGAGAGAGAGAGAGAGAGAGAGAGAGAGAGAGAGAGAGAGAGAGAGAGAGAGAGAGAGAGAGAGAGAGTGAGAGAGAGAGACAAGCACGGGAAGCTTCACAGTTCCAGGAAGCGCCTGGAGGAGCAGGGGGAACCGGACTCTGGGATGCGCTTGCTACCCAGATTCTGCTCCCAGGGTCTCCCGCTCCCACCGGGCTGCAGCCGAGTTCTGGGCCAGCCACCCGTGGCTCGGAACCCCGCGAGGGGTAACCCCCTCGCCCTCGCGCCCCTCACCGTCCTCCGGGGAGAAGAGCACTAGGAAGGACGCCGGGCTCCCTGGCTGTGGAACGACCTCGCACTCCCCTCCGCCGGACTTCTTCCGGCTCTGGAAGTACATTTGCAACTTGTTGATCAAGGTCTTTGGGGGGTCGGGGCCCCAAGACCCCTCGACCAGTAGCGGGAACGGGCCGGATGCTGCCATCCTGGCTGGTCAGGAACCACGACTGCCGGGTTGCCCAAAGCTGCTCAGAATTTGCTTTGAGTTAATGTCTCTTTCGCTTTCGTTTCCTGGAAATTCCTCTCCACCCTTAGTTTCTATCTTCACCTAACTGTCCCCGAATTGGAATAAAGCAAACACACACACACACACACACACACACACACACACACACACACACACACACACACACACACACACACACACACACACACACACACACACACACACATGGTCCAGGGCACACCCAGTCCGCAACTTTCTCCTCCTGACATCAACAAAGGTGAGTCCAGTCCTGCGGAGCTGGCTGTCCCAGACTTTGGCCTCCAGTGCACCTTGCACCCAACTCCCCAGCTGCTCTCTGCCCTTCACCCTGGCCACAGCCGAGCGCTGCTCCATCACTAGGATAATTTCAGTTCACCCGAAACCCACATTGTATGAGAGAAGAAAAGGGCTCACAAAATGATCCGTCTTGGGATGCTCCCTGCTCGCTCGGGAACTACCATCAGAGTTTGACCTGCTTTTTCTGCGTCTGAATTGTGCTTTGTCATCCGGGAACACTTTGTGTCTACAAACTCCCAGTTTTGAGGAACGTGTGCTAGGCCCCATGCTTTCTGGGTGTTCAACAGAGGGACGCAGATGTAAGAACACAGGAGTTACGACAGGAAACAGGTGTTGGAGTAAGAGAGCAAGGGCTTCTAGCCTAATCATGGGAAGGTGGTGGAAGAACTTATGGGCAGGTGAAGCCTAAGGACTATCACAAAATGGCCTTAGAGGATTGGGTGGAGGGCTCTGGGCTGTGGGTCACTGGCACAAATTTACCTGGGCTGCTGCATGGTGGCTGGGGTGGCTGAAAGGAGGCTGGCTGGCCTGCATACCACATACAGAGAGGAATGGAGGGAAGGTGGGCGCTAAGCTGCCACTGACAGTAGGATTTGCTGAAGGATATGAAAAGTTCATCCAGGGGCGGGCCAAGCAAGAGGCTGAATCCTAGTGCAGGAGTGAGGTGGGCTGAGTGGGACGAGGTGAGAAGAGCTGGGAATGTGTGTGTCCTCAACACATGATGTCTCAGACAGTTAGAGAGGCTTTGCCAGTCCAGGGCCCTCTGGGGGCCTCTAGCAGCAGGGTCTGATGGAAAACAGAGAGAGGAGGGAGTCTGAAGAGGCTGAGGCCAGAAAAAAAGAAAGGAAGGAGAAGCAGCAAACCTACCCAGATGTTTCCAGAAGGTTGACTGAACAAGAAGACTGGAGTCAGGCAGTGATGGGGGATGGGAGTTGGGGCTCAGAACGTTTTTATTTTTGTTTCTTGGATTTAATTTTTTTTGTCGTTGTTTGTTTTTTGTTTTTCAAGACAGGGTTTCTCTGTAGCTTTGGAGCCTGTCCTGGAACTTTCTCTGTAAACCAGACTGGCTTCGAACTCACAGATATCCACCTGTCTCTGTCTCCCGAGTGCTGGCATTAAAGGTGCACCACCACCGCCGGGCAGATTTAAATATTTTGAAGATTAAAAAAATACTAGGTATGTGTAAATGTTAGCACAGCGAAGGGATGTGGAAGATACTGGTGACATCAGCCATGATTTCCCCAAGTGCCAGCTGCAAGACATGGTGAATGAAGACAGACCAGGGGTTGTATGAAGATATAGGTTGTTTACAGGTGGCTCCCATTTCTCTATGGATTGCAATTCAACGGGTCCCACAACTCAGTGTGAGGCTTGTGAAAATTTTGGAATCACTGAAAGGCTTCTAAAATCGTAATGACCAAAACTTAACTCAAAATCAACTCCACAGCAACACGTCATTGCTTCTTCTGGCCCTGCTCACCGGTGTTGTGTCTCCTACCATCACTGCAGCCTGGTTCTGAGCACACACACATACTTGCAGAGGAGGCCTTCACACCAGGTGATACCAGTGAGCACTCTGAACAACCCTGCTCAGATGAGAGACTGGGGAATGATTCGCTTAGCAGTTTTCATTGTTTACAAAGTTTCTGTTCTTAAAGAAACATAATGTCTTAGTAATAGAAAACAGACTTGTAATGTGTTCCTGCTGTCACTCTTCAGCATGTAGTTATCAGATTAGTCTATCCTTGGATTGCATTGTGTTAGAATGCTTAGTTTTTAAATTGCTATTTCAGGGGTTGGAGAGATGGCTCAGCAGTTAAGAGAACTGGCTGCTCTTCCAAAGGACCCAGGTTGGAGCCCTGCATGGCAGCTCACAACCACCTATAACTCCTGTTCCAGGAAATCTAATACACTCTTCTGGTTTCTGTGGTCACTTCATACACATCTGATACACTGATGTACATGCGGGCAAAACACCTATACACATAAGATAAAAATAAAATTTCTTTCAATGAATTTTGGCTTGGGAATTAAGGCAGAATTTCCTACTATTTCTAAAATCTGTCTGCTATTTTTATAGTGTGTATTTAATTCAAAGTAGGATTCTCAGCATTGACAACTGTGAGATAAAAAGTACTCATTAAAAAAAGTACTCATTAACTATGAAAAAAATTGAAAAGTTTCCATGTCCTGCAGTAGCAAATGTTCAGCCAAGATTTAGTTCTTTATATTAACAACAAACACATTTGTTGCAATATGCAAATTTGCTTCCATTTTCAGTAAATGATAAAAGCATATGTGAACAGAAGAAGAAATCCTGTCTTAGAGTCTGTCAAGTTCAGAAATGCTTTGGGGAAAGACAGACCTTGCATATTGTTACTTAACCCCAAAGAACTGAAACAGTATGAAGAGGTCAGAGACCCACAGAAGAGCATTTACTGTTTTGCTTTGTTTTCCTGATCTTTAATAATGCTGAACAGTGGTATCTTTCTCCAATTTTCAGCATCCTGCCTGCAGATGGCGCTCATCATCTGATCCAAACAGGGTTGGAACCTGGTGTTAGGGGACACCAGGATTAGGTGGTTAGGTTAGAGTGCAGACTCTTCCTGGACTTGTCTCTGGCTCACCCAAACCAGAAATAAAACTGACAACCCCTTTCCCAGAACTTATGGTTCCATAGCTGGGCAAATGGTTTCTCGTTTTCCTCACACCATCAACTTCTAAGAAACAAAGTCATGTTGTATGGTCGGAGAGTCCAAAACAACCCAAGTACAAGAGTCCACACAGAGTAAGATCTTTATTGCATTAGACATCAAAAGTTAACTGTCAGGGACAACAGTACTGACTCCGGGGCTGACTACGTTCCTGAACATTCACTTCAGTAAGTATTTAAGCAGAAAAACTGCAAACCTCTGTGCCAACTTACAGTTAAGTTTCTCACCAATCAGCATTCAGGGATAGGAGACTTTCATAGAAACATTTCCTGTCGTGCACTGTTCTTGTTTGTTGGTTGGTTTACTCAACTGTGCCATGGTGACTTGATCACTATTCATGTCTCAACTTGTCAACTCTGATGTCAGTTACCCAGGGAGGTCTGGGGAGGTCTTTCACCATGAGACCAGGCTGGCCTTGAACTCACTGAGGTCCTCCTGTCTCTGACTCTTGTGTGCTGGGATTAAAGGTGTACACCTCCATGACCAGCTACTACTATCAAAATTTTAAGGAAGACCTAATATCAACACTTCTCAAGATCCCCCACAAAACACAAAGAGAAGGAACAGTACCAATTCACTCTGTGAAGCAAGTATTATCCTGTTTCCACTACTGTGATAGCTAACTTGATTATCAAGTTGACTATATGTGGAATGTGTTAAAAACCCAAGCTGCTGGACACACCTGCTAGGTATTTTCTTTTTTGTTGTTGTTGTTTTTTGGTTTTTGTTTTTTGTTTTTTGTTTTTCAAGGCAGGGTTTCTCTGTATTGTTTTGGAGCCTGTCCTGGAACTGGCTTGGTAGACCAGGTTGGTCTTGAACTCAGAGAGATCTGCCTGCCTCTGCCTCCCGAAGTGCTGGGATTAAAGGTGTGTGCCACCAACGCCCAGTGGGATTTTCTTAATTGAATTAGTTGAAGTGGAAAAACCCACCCTAAATCTGAACTACACCTTCTGGTGGCAGCCCACATGAAAAGACACTGAAAGAGAACGCCTGGCTATTTGTCTGTTTGCTCTTACTTGCTGCAGTAAATTTAGCTACCTCTTTGCTACTGGTGGTATTAAATCCAACTTCTTCAGGATTGTAAGGTGGACTGAAAACCAGCAACTCTCCCTGAAGCTTCTGGGACTCCAACATCTGGCTGGGACTGCAGAGACAGAAAAGTGAGGGGACTCAGTGCTCAAGGCTGCCTGTGGTAAGAGCGAGAATGCCTCATGTGGAAGGGGACTGACTCGTCATGGTGTCTGAAAAGACACATTTTCATAAGGAAAAATAAGACATTTTCATGAGGTGCAGGAGTTTAGCAAGGCAAAGGGGTGGGTATACATCATGGGGTCACAAGTTCAGGATAGATTGGAATACCTAACGTTTGCAGGATACCTTAGGCTTAGGAAACAGAAGCTTAACTCTGGTAAGGTATAGAGACTTAATAACAATGTGTAACAATGTGGCTCCTTAACAACAATGTGGCTCCTGTTTTAGTTTCACAAAAGAAAAAATGAAATTATAAAATGTGTTGTAGAAAAATGAGCCCATCTTGAAATTATATTAAATGAGATACCCAGTCTCAGTATCTATCTTCCTAAATCTGGCTTATTACATTTAACATAATGATCTGTTTTTCTTTACAACAGAAAATTCTATTGTATGTATGTATATACCACATGTTCTCTCTCTGACAGCTGAAACTTAAAAAAAATATTTCATGTGTATGGTGTTTTCCCTGGATGTGTGACTATGCATCATGTAAATGGTGAAGACAAGATTCCAAACTACCTCAAACATAATCACTAATCCAGTTCCGCTAGCCAATCACCTAAGAGACCACCTCTCAAGAAGGTAGATTTACCCAGTCTCTTGCTAAAGAGATGGGAGGAATAATTAACCCTTTGATGAGATAATGTACTTTTTCCTTCCCAGAAGCTCTACTTTCAATGCAGTCCCTATACCCAGACCAACCAGGAGGTCCTGTGAGGTTTGTCTGTAGCTGTTTTCCTTCTTTTTACCTCTTTTTTCCTCCTCTGTCCTTCTCCTTCTTTCTTCTCCCTCTTTGTCCTCCCTCCTTCCCCTTCTCCTACTCCTTGTTTCTTCC